GGGAATAAGTGTAAATGAGTTTAAAGGTATAAATAGAGTTAAGGGTAAGAGATTTAAATAAAAGTTAGGTAATTTTCGAAGTGAAATAGGTGATTTCTAGGTAAGGGTATCGATAGTGGAAGAACAATATCGATACTATAAGGTTAATTGGGATGAAATTACATGAATCAGATGAACAATATCGATACTAAATGGTAGTAGTATCGATAATGGTAAAGGTATCGATATTATAAGTAAAGATGAATTACAGAATGTCAAAATGGTATCGGTACTGAAGTGGGTATCGGTATCAAAGAAGAGAAATATCGGTACTAGGGGTAGAGTAGCGATATTATTCATCAGGAAATTGTTAATTAGGTGTTTTAATTCACTTAAGTAAAGATTATGTGGTTAAATGTTATTTGAGATCTGATATTTATATTGATTATTGTAATGTGTAGATTCGATTGAAAGTAAATGTTGAACAAAGTGAAAAAGGAGTTGTTTAGGGCTTAAGTGAGGCAAAAAAAGATGAGTGCAACTTACTTATTTTATATATATTTGGAGGACGTCTTGCGATAAGTCAACCTCGAATGTTTTTAAATAAATGATTTGTATTATGTTATAACATATATTTTTATGACTTGATTTATTAAATGATTTTGTTATAATTTTTTGGTACAAATTACCCAAACTATTTGTATATGATAATTTGAATAATTCTACATGAAATACTATAAGTATAAGACCTATGAGTATATTTTTTATATGAATAAATGATAATTTGAATAGTGCTATGGTATATGCTATGAATAAATGTTCTACATGAGATGATTTATGTGAATAAATGTTATGTGAATATATGCTAAGAGATTTTATTTGTGGAACTATTATACTCGAAATGTGATCTATGTGAATAAAAGACCTTTTGAATAATAAATGTGATCTAATTATATGGAATAAGCCCAAGGTATATGTATGAGAATTAGAGGTATAGTTGGTATGCCAAGAGTCGAGGGTTCTATGTGGTCCTTCAGGACAAAACTATGTCGTCCTTCGGGATAAATATGTGGCACTTCGGTGCAAATTATGTGAGTTGTGGTGACAGCTTTAGTGCACAGCCTCAATGTACTCAAATACCTGGATTTCTCAGTAGTATGCATTGGGTTATTGTTAAAACAAAATTATATAAACCGAACAAGTGATAAAAGTATACATTCTTATTATGAAATGAGAATTGAATCTTTTATGAAATGTGTTCTACGAAATGAATAAGAAATTATTTTATAATGTTTTATCTTACTCGTATTTGCCTCACTAAGTCATAGACTTAGTGTGTGATTGTTTCACACGTAGGTGCAAAGAGCTTCGAGGAATAAGTCGTTTAAGCAAGGGAATGACTGCATACCTGTGAAGACTATCAGATCAGTGAAATGCAAATTGTATATGTTTTGTTCTTTGAAATGTTGTTGGCATGTACTATAAATGTTTAAAATGTAGATGCTTTGATATGTTTTATAAAAATGTTTTCATTTGTCCAATAAAAGTCAAATTTTAGTCAAAATTTCAGAGAGTCAAAGAGTTGGAAGTTAATGTGACACCTCATAGTCGTATCCGGGTTGGGTACGGGTCGGGGGTATTATATGTAATGTCCACCCTTCATTCCCACGAACCAAACATGGTACTCACCCTCTTTGCACTCCCGTAAATTATCGAAGCAGCTGAGTTGATTATTTTCATTTGACCGGCCTTCTTGGTAACAACCAACCTGCATTTATTGGCCTCTCCTGGTGAGATGAAGGTGTCGGTTTCTTTGGTGTCTACTAGGACTTTAGAGACTTTTCCATTTATCCAATTGTCCACATACATTAGTCCCCTCTCAGGTTCCTTCTTCAAGTTGTTTAATTGGGTTTGCAATGTCGTTATGAGACAAATAGAACCCATCTTAGCCGACTCTAGCTCAACATCTTCTATGGGCATACTCTTGTTCATCCCGTCCTTATACGATGCCACCATAGCATTAAAAGAACTTCGTTAAGGACATTTTGTAACCCGATGAGTCCCATTATAAATGAAGCTCCTCAAAGGAGATTTAGTTCCTCTGCTGCTAGACCCGGAGCCAGTAGGATCTCTACATGAGATTGGCTCCTTTCCAGGAGATATCTTGCCTGCTCCCCAACCAGTCGACTTATATCCCTAGACCAACTTATTCCCAATTCTTGACACATTTTTTCCTCTCATAAATGAGCCTTATGCTTTCCAAGATTATCATTATAGTCGTTAAGACATTCGGCGGTAGCTATCGCTGTTGTAGATCATACACCTTCGGTCTTTGTAACTCCTTCCTAGCTCATAGCTTTAGACCTTGAAAAAAGTGGAACACCTTATCCCTTTCTGACATATCCTTTATATCCAACATTACAATAGAAAAATTCCTCACATACTCTCACATAGTCCCTGTATGAGACAAATCCCTCAGCTTATTCCATACATTGTAGCCTACATTTTCAGGAAAGAAAGAAGTTTTTAGCTCCTTCTTCAACTTTTCCCAAGTCTTTATGGAGCACTCTCCATCATGAACTTGGACTGCCACCACAACTTGGCATCCCCTGCCAAATACATCGAAGCCATCGCTACATTATCTTCCTCGGACTCAGAGCTCACCGTCCGCAAGTATTGTTCCATGTCAAATAATAAATTCTTAAGTTCTTTAGCTTTTCATGCCCTCTCAAACCGTTGAGGTTCAAGGACTTTAGCTCTTACACTCCTTTCACTAAGTTGTACAATCAGCCCAGCCACAGTTGCTTGAAGGATGTAGAATTGGCCTTACAACTCTTCATAACCCAATTGTATAAGGGTTATGGCATCTCTCACTTCTTTGTCGAGCTTAGTCACGGTCTATTGTAATTCTTCTTGATTAGCCTTGACTAGTCTCATTCGATCACCCGAGATCATATGAGCTTTGAGAGTTGCTAACGCAGCTTCCAACTTCTCAATTATCCTTCGGTCCACCACACTTGTATCTTATAAGACCGAGACTGGGACTTTTGGCTCCTCACCCTTAGTTAAAGTTGCATTCCCACCACTATGCGTACGAATCATTTTTTCCTGCTCATGGGCAACTCTATGTCTGCATCACAAATAGCACCGATGTGCACAAGTTAATAAAAGGGACACCTCTTGTGTGGAACTCATAGCACCTCTGTGCTTGAGATTGGGATTGAGCACTTATGTGCTTCAATAAAAAAAAACTGGCACCTTTGTGCTTAAAGTAAAGGATTGAGCACCTCTGTGCTGCAATCCAAGATTCTAGCACCTCTATGCTTTAAACGGATTGAGTACCTATGTACTGCAACCAAAAGTCTGGCACCTCTGTGCGTAGAAAACGATTGAGAAACTCTGTGCTTCAGTACATAGTTAAACACCTCTGTGCTTAAACCCATAATATTATTTCCCACGTAACATAAATTAATAATGAGCACCACCGTGCTTATAAAAAGGATCACACATCTTTGTGCTATGATACCAATTTTACAGACTTAGCCTAGTTGATTTGGTTGCTAATCTGTGTAACACTTGCAAGGAAAACTTTCCCCGTCAAGTCAAACTTAGTCTTGAATATATGATCAAAACACAAGCACATTTCGTGTTAGCGCATCGCCACAATAAAGCCCTTCAAGCCAAGGGTCGAGACCGTTAGGCATAGCGGTTGCCCCTTGGTCGACCTTAGACTTCTCTGAGGGTAATATGTTATATTAATGTAAATAACATCGAGTTACAAAAGACTCACTCACACCACCGATTAGGCCGTATGGGCGGCCCTCAGTGATGTTCATAGACACGTACCTTTAATTGTGGAGCAGCCTAAACTCTGACAGCTGTCCACCCCTACATATATGTGAAAATAAAATAACAGAAGCACCACGAACAGACGTTAGAGCGCTCAAACTGGGGACATAAGGTTCACCCGAGCTCTTTACCTAAAAACATTGAAACGACTGAAAAGAGGACAAACTTATTATACCCTGCCAATGAGCCCTATACATGGTTGGCCTTGGCATACTTACCCGATTATGGCCCCCAAAAGGAGATGGCCACCGAAGTGATTCCGGTCAAATGGTCTCCTCTCGATGATGGGTGGGTTTGTATTAATCCCGATGGTACGCTGGCTCAATCCTCTAGTTATCGTTCTACTGGTGGGCTCTTGTGAAATCATTCTGGTGATTGTTTAGTCATTTTCCAAAGATCTTTAGGCATTTCTACTGTTCTTGAAGCGGAGCTTTGGGTATTCTTGAAGGTTTTAAGATCGCGTGGCAACTTGATTTTGAGCGTGTTGTGGTTCAGTCCGATAGCAGCAATGCTCCATCCCCTCGGAGTCCCTTGGTCCATAGCATTGCATCATGGTGTAACAGAGCCTGATACGTCAATTTTCAAAAGATCTATCGTGAAGCCAACACTGCAGCGGACTTTGTCGTGAAGATGCCCCATCCCACGACTGAATCTTCTACGATTCTTAACGATTTTCCATCTCGTTTATTGGATATCCTGCACAGAGATTACTATGGACCTCCATTTCATCGGAAGAGAAAGCCTATGTAATGGCTTTCGCCTTCTTTTCCATTAAAAAAAATAAACACATAAATAATAAAAATACTAAAATAAGAATACCAGCATAGACAAATATTTAAAGTACGAAGGACAACAATAATTTTATATATTTTTTAGTATAACTTTTCATATTTAATTTATTGATCGATAAACTCGAATGAAATAATACATAAGTTTATTATAGGAATTATCTTTTCAATCCAATTCGTTTGATTTACGACATCATAATTTAAATATGTAATATTACTTGATAATTTAATATTTCATCCTACTAAATTGACGGGTAATTAATACAATAACATTAATATAACTTTAAGTTTATATCGTTTTATCTGCATGAAGAGTGCCTACATTAATTTGAAAATAATTTTATGGTAGTTGGAATACTTATTCTAAAAGAAATTTTGAAAGCTGAAAAATTAATGAGAGACTTTAATGAAATAATAATAGCAAAAGCCTTACAAAATTTAGGTCAGCTGAGAGTGCAAACCTAAGTAAACATAAGCTGCTCCAAAACATCAGACCGAAAATCTTAACTAGTATTATATCCCATGTTCTATGGACCAACATAAAGCTTTGAATGGGTGAGGAACTCCAAAATCTCTGATGTGTAATTTAATAGTCATAATTGTAACCCATATTTGACCGGAACCGGAAATCGCGATGATCATAATCAATCGGCCTTACGACCACGGCTTCTCGCTTCCCATCTTTATCTTGAACTGCCCCAAAAACAATCTCATTCGTTTTCTCATCATTTTGCTGATAGTACGTTTGCAGGGTGGATGTCTGATGGTGATGGTGATGATGCTGCGGTTTCTGCTGCGGTTGCGTATCATCATCCCATCCGCTGTAGAAGGCCCGACTTTGGCGCAACTGGTGGATTTTATCTGCATCTTTGGACATGAAAGGGTATGTTTTTCGTGGAGTAGGGGTTCGGGCATCGGTTGATGGGGGTTCATCTTCATGTGGGATCACTAAGCTCTCTTGTCCAGGCCAAGGCATTGTGTGCTTCTGTTGTTGCTGGTGCTGGCTCTGATATTGATAACTTACTGATTCCTTTCTAAAACCGGGGAAAACACCTTTGAAAATCTCCAAAGCAGAAACACCGCCGTCGACAAAATGCTTCCCAAGGGATCCAAGGAAGCCTTCTTGCTTCTCTTCCTCATCTTTGGTTGGAATTAAAGGTGGCCTGACTGATTTCAGCAGTTTCTGATATGGACTCGATACGGCAGCATTTACTTTAACCGAATCCTGATGCTTCAAAAAATCACTATTTTATAAGATTTCGGAACGTTAACTAGATCAGTGCTAGTATTTTCCATTTCATTGGATGAATAATGCAAACATAAAGAATTTCAAGTTTCGATCTCGCGGCTTATGATCGAGGAACACTTTCTGAGATGATAGTTTTACATATAATAACACTGAATACTTACATTCTGGGTTGATACAATTGTGCCCACTCTATGTTGCAGCAAAGCTAACATGTAACCAAAGATGCCAGCAGCGACAAGAACGGCGATTCCTGCAATGACAAATATTATAGTGTACTGTAAGCCTCTAAATATCAGAAACTAAGGAAGATCAACTTTCGGTGGATTAGTTTACCAAGAGGAAAACCACTTCCGTACTGATAAGCACAGTCGTCAAAATGCAGCTGAATCTCTCTAATTGCTCGGTTTCCTCTATCTATCACAAGAAGAGAGCAGCTGCTTCCTACATAGACTACATCAAAATCATTAGAAAACTTTGCATCTTCACTCGGTCCATCTACATGTCCCCCACCTCCCCGGCTCAATATCCCACCAGCAATTGTCGTAATACCTGAAGAAGATTGGACTCGTACTAGCAATTCTTCGAGCATTTTAAGACATTGCTAAAAATTTTAAAATCTAAATTATGACAAATACTAAGCTTGACAAAGAGTGATCCTATAAATACTTTTGAGAGAAAAAAAGAACGAAAAGAAAAATATGGTGGCGTATGCTTAGCATGCAGGATATTAGCAGCACAGAGATGAGATGCAAGGAGCATAAAGGATATAGAACTTATATAGTTAATCAAAATAACGAGCGATTGGGATTCCTCTTTCAGGAAACTCAGTGAATACATTGCTGACCTGAATCACTTATCTTCCTGATTGCCATATTCATAGTGTCTGCAATATAAATGTTGCCTCTGTCATCTACAGCTAGCCCTTTAGGATTGTTCATCCTTGCCTCTCTCAGCTTGCCATCGACATGTCCGGGATATCCTTCCGGGGATCCAGCAAGCAGCGTCGGTCTACTATCTGCATTTCTCCCATAATTTAATTGAAATAATTAAAGACCTGTCCATGGACAAATCAAGACGGCAGCTGGACCGCAAAATTGAATTGATGAATACCATAACTGTACATATAATCAATCTTAAAACGATTATACAAAACCTAGGAGCACGATAAATTAGCATTCCATTTAACTCACCAAATATCTATGATAGGCACAAAACATTCTTGGTTTACAGCAAAGATTATACAAACAAGGCGTAGATCACACTAAGAAAACAAAGCATTATACAAACAAGGCAAATATTATGAATTATTAGAGGAAAATATAACAGAAATTAAGAAAGAAGAAACCCCACTTACAAAGAGATAAAGAACTACACATCCGATAAAGGTTGCTATTAGCAGAGTCCAAAATCAACAGGTCCCCACTGGGCAAATTCTCAACGGTGTGAGGCTCAATTCCAAGCTTGCTTCCATCAAACACAGTCTCCACTGTGTATCCACCCTCGAACTTCATCATCGGACGGCCAGTAATTGCTATAAATGCATAAATCACATGGATACCATTGCATCAGATGCTAATCTCAAAGTCATAAGAAAAAATGGGAAATGTGGGTCTTCAATTCTGAATTATATTCGTAGGAGATCTTAACCTGTTTTAGTGGTAGATTTGAGTGACCATAACCACTTCATAGAAGGAGACAAACCATTAGAGAAGAACCCGCTAACGATCTCTGCAAGAACAAACACAGAATCAAGCTCATTTGCCATTAAAGCAAAGATTTAGCTTAAATCTAGAAGCGGATCAAAATCGATTGCATTTGGAAGCTTACTTGCAGGTGAAGTAGTAGTGGCAGCTGAAGTGACACCTCCAAGAAGAAGAAGAAGCAAAAGTGCAATACTCAAAATCAACACATTCTTGCCCATTGCCACTTCCACTCAAGCAGGTAAAAAAAAGAACAAGACACAGCAAAGAGCTCTTAGATATGAAGGAATATTCAAGCTTAACACATTGAGAAGAAATGCAAAACACTATCTGGAATCTAGGTCTTTTCCAGAAAAGTGAATGAACAGTGTGAGGTTGAGTAAAACAGTGCGTGTTTCAATGGGTTTCCTTTTTATTTTGATAACAATGGAAAAATGGTTCGTTTTCTTTGTTCTTTTAGGTGGATATTTGTTTTTACTGTATAATGTTTTCAAAGTTGTCGTGCATATCACGTATAGATATTGGATTTCGTAAATCGTTTTTTGGAAGATAGAACCTCTTCTAACGTTTACGCGTGTTCTGCGCGACGTAGATGTGATTTTATGTCTGCAGACGTTTTCTAACATCTTCAAAAATATTTTATATTTAATTTTATATTATAGATATTAATTTTAATATTAATTTTTTAAATAAATTAAATATTAATGTTTTAATATTATATTATAGATATTAATTCTAATATTAATTTTTTAAATAAATTAAATATTAATTTTTTAATATTATATTGTAGATATTAATTTTAATATTAATTTTTTAAATAAATTAAATATTAATTTCTTAATATTATATTATAGATATTTAATTTTATATCATATAAATTATTTTATATATTATTAAAATTTTATATTTATTTTAATTATTTTGATTTAAGTTTAAATATAATATTTTTTTGGATTTAAGTTTAAATATTTTCTAAAAATATCATATAATAATAAAAATAAATTATGAATATATATATTTAAAAAAATTAAAAGTATTACATAATTGCATATTTAATAATAGTTTAATGATAATTAATATTTAAAAAAAGAGAGGTGTATGATTCATTGATTAATAATAGTTTAATGATAATTAATGTTGTTGTGCCATATGATAATAAAATTCAAAATTTAATATTATTATATAACTTTAGATGATTTAATGTTTAAAAAAAAGCATATAATTTAATGATCATTTATAAATTTTATTCTATAAAACTTATAAAACTAATAATACATGTGATTATGTGAGACTTATAATAGAATTAGTAAGGTGGTGTATGTTTTTCTAAAAAATTTATTATTGTAGTTGTATGGATTATTTAAATTTCAGTATTGTAAAACTAAAATTATTTAAATCTCAGTATTGCAAAACTCTTTTAAATTTAAAATTTTAGTTTATTTATATTTCAGTTTATTTTAGCAGTCTGCATACGTTAAAAAACAAACAGTCTTCTTCTTGCAGACTGCAGACTTTTAGTCCACCTCTTCTGTTGCAGATGTCTGCATATGTTGTCCGCAGACTGCAGACATTTTACCTCTGCAAAAACAAACACCACCTTAGTAATGTGGGGGTGTAGACTGCGGCCAAATTGGCCAAATAATCCACGCGGGGACACTCTAACTTTTAATTTGGGATATCTAGTAATTATAATTGTGTTTATGGAACTCGTTAGGTCGGCGTAATGAGTTTTATGATATAATTTTTTAATAGGTCGTGTCAGGTGAGATTCGCAAACAAAATAAATTTAATACATACTAAGGGACTCGTCCTAATAAAAAATATTTTTTTTAAATTTTAAAAGAAAAGTAAAAGAAAAAAAATAATATTTTAATACTCATGGAACTCGTCATGCCGGCGTGTATAAATTTGACTTTTTTTTACCGTTGGATTGACTGTTGTTTAACGATCGAATTTTTTTAAAAATTTCAATGGAACTTGTCACGCTATTGTGACGAGTTCCAACGGCTATTTTCAATTTGAAAAAACTAGTCGTTGGGTAGAGTAGTAAAAATAAAAGTTTGGGTTGGATTTATTTTTCACTTGTAATCAAACATTCTATTGAGAGCAAAAACTTTTGTGTTGAAGATTTTGTATTGAAATGACATATAGAGAAGGAATGTTATATCTTGATGATGTTCATATTTTGTCGATCGAGTTGACAATGGTAAATTTAATTTGTTTTATTTCATTTTAGTTTTAACGAAATGATATTATTAATAATAATTATTTATGTAATTGTATTAAATAATTGATTTTCAAATTGTAGCGAGAAGAACGAGTCATTCGTCATCGAGGAATGACGAATGAAGAGCCACATAAGCGGATGGTGATATATTTTTCACAATCCGGATTATATGGAGTGACGTTTCTTCACGGATTTAAGGTGATGTCGGCACTGATATCAGCATTGATTGAGCTTGGAGGCTTGAAATGCATATGTTTCATTTACCTTGTAGTGAAGTGACGATAACTTTAGAAGATGTCGCGTATCAACTTGGCGTTTCGATTAATGGTATGTCATTGGTGTTTCGCAACACTTATATGTGATTTCAAATTTATTGGGAAAGGAGGCTCCAGCCGATGTCATTGATGGGTTGCGGGTACGGATAACGTGGTTAGAAAGAGAATTTAGAGTAGATGAACAATCAACGGAGCAAGAGGTGATATATGCAGCTCGAGCATATCTTATGACGTTGATTGGAAGGATCTTGCTACCGGATAAATCGGGTAATTTGATGCACACACAATATCCTCCAATAATGGAGGATTTCACTGTATATCGTCAATATAGTTGGGGTTCTGTAATTTTGGCGTTTTTGTATCGTGAACTATGTAAGGCTACCGTAGTCGTTAGAGAAAAAAAAACGGATGTAGTGGGTTGTTTAGTTTTGCTCCAATCATGGTCGTGGTATCGCCTCCCGTTTATGACGCCTATTACATCCGCTCCTATAGAGTTTCCTCTCGCCGCAAGGTAAATTCATATATTTAAAGTTTTGATATTTTATAATATTTATTTAAATATTTTTGAAAATGACAATAAATAAAGTAATTTTTTAGATGATGACACCGAATAACCGATACAAAGTTGTCGGGTACAACTAAAGTAGATATTCGGATGAGGATTGATATCGTCGGTAGACATGCGGTGAATTTTAGTATTTTTGCATTAACTTTAAAATTGTAATATTAATTGTTTAATTATACTAACATAATATTTTTGACAGTTTAATTAGATGTCTTATTATTAGTCGAATTTTTGACATTATTGCTCCATTTCTCAATTGTTGAGATTCATGTCACCGATAGAGTTTTGCGACAATTTGGGTTTCACCAACCGATAAAAATGTCAAAATATAACATTGACGATTTGCATAAAATAGATGTGCGTGGGAAGCATACCGAAGATTGGTCGAGGAAACATGCTACATTCATACATAAATGGAAAAATAAACATTTACGATTGTCTAATCGTTCCGAGGTACAACCCGAAGATTTTGATTTCAATGTTTCTCCCTACCTCCAAAATTATGAAGCAAATGGGAAATCATTTTCTTCATCACGGACAATCTCAATTTGAGAAGATGATGTCAATGATGGCATCAAATACCTTGAGTACTCCATCATTTTCACTCGAATATGTATATCAAAGTGGTGTAATAGTGTTCGGCACACCAGAACCGGAAGAAGAGGAAAATGAAGAAGATGGACGACCACGACGAAATCGATGAGAATCACGTCATTACCATTCTACCACGCCTCAACATCGGCAAGAATTAATCAAATATAAGTAATAAATTTGTTTATTTAAGTTTTTGTACTCAATATTTAATTGTATCAAAAATTTATTGCTAAGTAATAAATTTGTTGATTTTTTAAAATTATAATTAAATAAGTTTATTTTTTAAAAATTTTAAAAAATTATAATTGTTTAAATTTTATTGATATTTAGTGTAGTTAATAAAATTAAAATTTCGAAGTTAAAAATAATATCAAACTTTTAGAAATTTTTAACAAATTTGAAAAAAAAACCTACATGGAACTCGTCACGCCGGTGTGACGAGTTCCAACGGGTATAAATTCAAAAATTGGACCCTTGGGGTGATCGTTGTGGAACGGTTAATTTTTTTAAAAAATTAACTGGAACTCGTCACGTCGGTGTGCTGAGTTCCAACGACTATTTTTAAAATTTTAGTATAAATAGGGGTTTAGGGTGAAGATTATGATGTATGAGAAGTGACAAAAAAATGAAAATATCAAATATGTTATCGTGTGAAAATTTTGGGATTGATTTGGCTAACGGTGTTTATGGGTTTCACAACACCAACTCGGAGATCGATGATTCATATTCAAGTTATTCATCAGATGAAGAGTGGGAAAAAGAGGAAATAAAGTACATAATTGAGGAGCATAAGAAAAATAAAATGAAAATGAAATAGGAGAAGAAGAAGAAGTTTGAAGATTTACCGAAGCGGCGTAGCAAACGACTAGTTTAGATGGAAGAAAAAATTAAAAGAAGAAGTATATAAATTGAGAAGAAGAAGACGAAGGAAGATCAAATTATAGAGAAATGTAAAAAAATAAAAAAAAAATAACATATATTCAAATATTGATTTGTATGGTTTTAGTTTATGTATGACGTTGTCTTTATTAATTAATTATTATCTCATTAAAATTCAAAATTTTATTTATCATTAAAATCGGAATTTATAGTTATCAAAATCTCAATTAAAAAACTTTAATGAAGTTTTAATTTTAAATTTTAAATTGTCAATTAAAAAATTATCTTCTCCATTTTCAATTAAAAAATCGTACCGATATTGTTCATTTGGTACCCCTACCAAAGGTAAAAAAAATATCGATATTCACTTGGTAGTATCGATACTACCAGTATTTTCCAAATGGGTCAAATTCTAGAATGTAAAATAGGTATTGATACTCATAGGGGTACCGATACTACTTTACACAGTAGTATCGATATCATAAAGAGGAGTAGTGATACTGTCCAGCCCAACGGTCTTAAATGGCTAGATTTATTTAAAAATTACAAAGGTCGTATTGATAATCATTAAATAACTAAGGATTTTCCAAAGGTTACTCTTGATCATTGAAAAAGAAAGAACAAATTTTACTAATAGTTTGGAACTAGGGGTTTTACAGTACATAATATTTTGTAACGCCTATTTTAGCGTCCAGCTCTATATTTTGGAAGATATTGATAATGTTTTATGTTATTACCTTCACCTCTGCAGTTGCCACAAAGTTTGGGTTGACCAGGCTCTTTTTGAGGATAATCCATATCAATATGAATTTGGCTAGATTCAGGTTGACCCATAACTTCCTACGCAATTAAGGATTTGACAACCAATCCTTATAAATTATGCATTTAGGATAGTATGCTTCATTTGGGAGG